AGTCAAAGTGTAGCCGAGGGATGAGGCGAGTTTGGGGTCGCAGACCCATGTGTTTGGTGTGCAGTCGAAGCATAGCCGAGGGATGGGGCGAGTTCGGGGTCGCAGACCCCAGGTGTTTTGGTGTCTTGAGCCCCCGAGCCCCATTGGGCTTTGGTAGAGGTCGGTTTGAGTTATGTGCATTACCCCGTCCTCGGTTTCTCACCACCGGAGGGGCTGAGCTTTGTCGCTTGCCTCGATGGCTCGGGCTCTAGTGACGCGCTCGGTGAGTTCGCTAACGGGTATGATTGAGTGAAATCCGGGTCCGTCGTTGATGACGGGGTCAACATAGCCCTCTTGTGACATTCCACTGTTCCTTTACCTGCAACCCGGCAGATGCCTAGGTCGTTTCGGAGACCGACCCGGTGGCCTAATGGCCTCCCCTCGATGGAGATTCTATGGGCTTGGCAGAGGCTTAGGATCGAACGAGAAGGTTGAGATGACCCTGTCTGCTTTGGGGCAGACGGGGCGAGGGCCGCACGAGGCTCATCTGCGTTTTCTCCCCTGGCTCTGTTTAACCTGGGGCGGCCTCGAGCCCTTCGTGGGCCGGCCTTCGAACCCCGGTCGGTCGTTGCTCATGTCGAATGAGACAACTACCGCTTCGTGACACAACACGGAGCGTTGTGATGCATTTCACTGCACGTGCGGTGGCTTAGCTCCTGAGCCCCCGGGCGGTTCAGGGCTCGAATCGTCCGGGGGGCACGGGCGTATGGAATGAATGCGTGTATGGATGTATGAAATGATTATAAAGAAATAGCGGGAGTCGGTAGTGTTACCTTGATGACTCGAGTGACGGGGTTTGAAGAGCTCCAATCGGAAATGTCCGACCGAGACTCGTGCTCGTCGTTCGTGATGGAGTCGGCATGGCCTACATGGGGGCGTCCCTTTGCTCCTTACCTGTCTCTCAGTGTGTTTTCAGAGCCGTTCGAACGACTTTAGGAAGCTCGATGGTCTCTCACTGGCGGAGATCCCGTTCTGAGTTTTCCAAGTCCCGCCTTGGGAGGTGGAGAGCCGCCTGCGTGTGGTGATGCTTTAGTTTTCGTGCCCGGCATGCGGTAGTGGTGGGCCATACCCAGGCCACGTCCCGTCTTACCAGGTGGCGTTTCGTCTGACCAGGCGGCGTTCCGTCGGTCAGTGTGCGTCCCATCGGTCAGGGTGCGTCCCATCGTTTTTCATCCGCATTGAATGGGGGAAGGGAGAGAGTTTTTGGCTCTGATCTTTTGCCCCTCTTCAGCTGTCACGTTTTCTCCTTAAATAGGGGGAGGGAGAGGGCTTTTTATCGTAGTCCTTTGCCTGTTCTCCAACTATTGTCTCTCCTCCTCCTTCCTCCTCACCGAGAGTGCCTGTATGCCGCGATAGTTCCTAAGTGAGAGAGAGGGTAAGCGAGGGGGAGGACTTACAGATCCTTTCGTGAATCTAGAGCGCGATGTCGAGCTAGAGGCTGTCCGAAGAGTAGTGAGCAGGGGTTTGGCCCCGTGTGCTTGTGACCTTGTGTTTTCATATTTTATATTATTTAGTGTGGTGGCCAGATCTATATATTGTGTGTAGGTGGTGGAGCAAGAAAAACGTGGAATCACTTTGTATTGCATCTCTAGGCATTGTGATCCTTTTAGTATAGATATAGATCAAGATTATTAATCTTTCTATTTCCATTTCCACACTTGCTTGAACCTGGAAACAAAACATGATGAAAAAACAAAAAAATGGAATTGTATATTTGTTACACCCCTCTGTCATAAATCATATATCGTTTTGGCTTTTCTAGCTACATAGCTTTTGCTATGCACCTAGATATGAGATATGTCTAAATTCATAATAACTGTGTATCTAAAAAGCAAAAATGACCTATAATTAGAATGGAGGGAGTATTATATTATTCATCTTACTAGCTATTTCTATTTCCACATTTGCTTGAGCTTGAAAAAAAATCAATACGGAGAAAAAAAAAAAAAAATAGAGCTGGAGGTACAGAACGGAAAACAAAAAACAGAACGGTAGCAACAGGGCGGAATGGAGGAGCGACGGACTCTCGGCTCTCACCCCCTGTTGTGTGCCTCATGGACTGCTTCTATGTGCAACTCAGAAAAAAAATAAAGGAAACTGCTAGCGCCCGGACGTCCAGACGGACACCCGCGTCCGGACGCCCACGGCTGCCTGCTGTGCTGCTCGCCTACCTGCTCTTTCACGTACATGTCCGACTGCTCCCCCGCGTTCTCGTGCGGACCACCCTCGCCCGCCTCGCTTCCCACACGCACGTGGGGACCTCCTACGGCTGCGGGACCGCTCCGCTTGCACCTGCTTCCCTCGTCTACTTGCAACATGTGCAACATCCTGATCTACTTTTACAACATCTAGATGAAACACATGTAACATACGTCAGAAACAGCAGAAACACTTGCAACATACGTCTGAAACACTTGAAAAAATAACTGAAAACACTTGAAGATCATTGCAAACTTACGCAACATCCAGATAAAACACTTTGCAACATATATGCACGAAACATAACACACTTGCAACATATGTCTGAAAAAACAGATGAAACATTGGGAACAGACGCTTGTAACATATGTGTGCAACCCAACATATGCAACATCCATATGAAACACTTGAAACATACATCTGAAACAACTGAAACACTTAAAATATAGGCTTGCAACATGTGTGAAAACGCCTGAAACACTTAAACACAACGTCGCCGGTGGTCATGGCCTACCTTATGGGGAACTGCAGTGGCTAGCAAACGTGGATCAGGAGGACGTCGAGAACAACAGCCTAGCATACACCTGCGCTGCCGGTCTTCCCTTCCTATTATGGTGTCTTCGGCTAGCCGCAGGAGACGAAGTAAAGGCCGACAATGACCTCGTACTAGTGGCGTCAGGTTGGTGGTGGCCCGGTGACGCCACGGCTGCGACCAGCGATATGGAGTAAGGCGCGGCAGAGGATCGGCACGCGAAGTGATGGGGGAAGCGCATGGCACGGTGGAGGAAGGGGGTGCGGCGGGATGGAGTGAGGCGAGCCGTGAGTGGATGCAAGTCTGAAGAAGAGGCAGAGCAAGAGACGGTGTTGGTGGAAGGCTGAGAAATGAGTGCATAAGAATTAACGTAGAGAATAAGTGGGTGAGATAGTTTGGTGTCCATTCGATATTTTTGAGAGGGCCGGACGCTCTTGTTGTAGCATTTCCGAAAAATAAAATCGGACTTATTGGGACGGTCCTTAGGATATGGGGAAAACAAAATTAAATGAGAACGATCTCCTCGGCAAGAAAAAAAAACAGCAAAACAAAAATAAAAAGGTCCGAAATCAAAGAAATTCTTGGTGGCTTAATAATAGTAGAAGTAAGATAATGATACAATTAGACGCAGAATTAGAAAATTATTTTAACTGTAATGAGTAATGAGCTAATATTTGGTCTCTGTTTGGCATGTAGCCATCTACTATAGCGGTAGAGGGAATTGGTCCCAACAAAATCCTACATCACTTCACTCGAAGATTCATAGGCACCTGGTCCTCCTCGTGTGTCAGCGTCGAGGGCCCGCACGTGAAAGGATTGGTCCGTGTGAGGCCGTGCATACTTCTCTTCCTCTGAACTGGGTGCCAGCTTATTGACTTGTCAACTCCAGTGATTGCAAAATGCTGAAATGTATACGTACTACGTGTCGGAATGCGAGCATTTTTTTTATTAAACTGGGCTCCACTTGTTACTCGAAAGAGGAATGTTTGACTTCGAACTTGCTCCAATTGTTCTCGGATTTCCAAATTCCAATCAGACACGGACCATTGAAGTTTTGGACCTTTGTCTTAGTCATCTAGAACCCGAGCTTTCCGGATCCATATATATATACCTTCCACTCAAATTGTAAGTCGTTTTGATTTTTATTGTCTAGACCTATACTATATATATCAAGATATATAGAACAGACTTGCAATTTGGAAATGATAATAAAGTAGTAAAAAAGGAAATTTCTTTCTTCCGTCTCACTCTCTCCTCTGTCTGTCCAACACTCACACATCTTTTGTTTCTTGTCATCATTCCCCACTCCCACCCTTTGTATTTTGAGCTTTTCAATTTTTTGGTGGATGTCATTTCCTCACTCTCACTCTCACTCTCCTCTTCAGTTAATATTAAAGAAGGAAAATTCTTTCTTCTGTCACACTCTCCCATGTCCGTCCATATTCCACACTCTTATTATATTTCTTGATTAGTCATCCTCCCTCTTTCACCCTTCTCATTTTTAGTTTTTCTTTCCTTGGTTCATCATCCATCACTCTTACCGTTCTAATTTTGAGTTTTTTATTTCTTTGGTTCGCTGTCTCTCACTTTCACCCTTCTCATTTTGAGTTTGGGCTTGCAAAACCTTTGTCAACGTCCCTCCATGCCTCCACTCATATCATGCCCTACTCATCTCTGAGCCCGGTCTGTTGCGGCATGTGTGCAGGCATGTGGCCCGCTTTTCATCTTTTTTTAAACTCACAATAAGTCCACACAATAGGCATTTAATTATTTAAGTTGAGTCAGGCTCATGTCTATTTCTCATACGAGATTAATCCTTTATTGCACAAGCATTTATTATGGGTCTTGAAATTTATTTGATTTAAGATAGAACCAAGGCCAATTAAATTTAACAAAAATCAGCAGCACTTGTTTATTATTATTGGCATGAGCACCATACAATAAACTGTACATTCTACTGTTGTGCACGAACATGTTTGATAGTATAATTTAGAGTATTACGTGTGATTGTTTCTCTCATAAAAATTCCTAGGACTTCATATTACATTTCTAAAATATGGTGTCCACTTCAACCCAGTGAAAGGAAAACCAGGAGTTGCACTGTCCAGCCGTATACAAATCTAAGAGTAGTGCTGCAAACTAAAAAAACGAACTTAGAATATTTACTCCAATAAATACTATCCGTACGACCACCGTACATACGTATGCATGGTCTGTCGTCTACTTGTCTCTACATTATGGAGCAGCTGGTGGTGTCTTGCTGCGGCTGGTAGCCGTACCACGAGTAGCCGGCAGGGTGGTCGTAGACGACGGTGGCCGAGTGCGGCGGCGGGTACGCGGGCACGACGGTGGCCGTCGGCTTCTTGTCGTCCTTCTTGGCCTCGCCGACCTGCAGCAGGTGCGCGGGCCCCACCTTCTTGCGCAGCGCGCTGGTGAGCTTGACGGAGTCGACGCCCTCGCCCACGACGACGACCTTGTCCCTGCCTTCGCCGTCGAGCGCCACGGAGTCGACGCCGCCCGTGGCCGCCACCACCGCCATGGCCTTCGACCGGCACTTGTCGCAGCTCATCTGCACCTTGATCACGATCTTTTGCTGCACCAAGGTCCAGGACATGCGCCGACAACATTAATATAATATAATAATTCAGGCTTTCATCTGAAACTTTATTGGAACGAAGCTAGTAATAAAACACTACTACGTGCTGCAGCTGCAAACAATCAAGGAGGCTATGGCATGTGTACCTTCATTTTGCTGAGGCTCTGAGCTGTGTGAAGGTCCTTGAATTGGGGATATATTTCTTGTGAGAGAGCTGTAGGTTGTTGGAGAAAGAGACGAAGTGGGGGGAGCAAGAGTTTCATGTCCTGCTAGCAATGTCCCGTGCCGTGGAGTATTTATTATATATCGATGGATGACTGGGTCTTACTCCCGTGTCTCAAAATAAATGTTATTCTCACTTTTCAAGGTCACTTTTCAAGAAGTTACATATTTTTAACTTAATTTGATCAAATATATATAAGAAGTATTAATATTTGTAATGTATAATTAGTATCATTAGATGGATGAGTTCAATATATTTCATAATTAGTATCATTAGTTTTTTTCTGGCTTCACTATTTGTAGGCATGGCCAAGTCTAAAAGACATTACTTGTGTCAAAACGTACTTTGGGGAGCCATTATTCGGGCACAATTGTTGGCCCCGGATCTCCCGCACGAGTGAGTCGATCGCTCACCGGTATTGTCGACCACGCACTATGGCTAGAGGTGGAAGAAGGAAGAGAGAACAGAGCGCACACACACAGCACAAGCACCGGAGCTCTACAGAGGATATGGCAAAACTGAACTCGCTCTCTTTACTAAGTTGCAGTGGGAAAATATATATACAACTCTACCGATCTAATCCTAGTACACAGACATGCCAGGCTACCATGCTTCTACCGTAACTAGATGTGACAGCAGGGCTGACTTTGGCGCCTGCCCCTACTGTGGCCACAGTGCGGTATGGAAGCCTTTCGACGTCTACCCCTGTCGCGGCTGCAGTGTAGCGGCAGGGAACCCTTTCGACGCCTGCCCCTGCCGCACGTTCACACCGATGGGAGAGCAGTACGACAATTATATTGCAGTAGTAAGAAAAGATGGTTTCCAAACCAACGCCGGTCCTTCGCTACGGAAGAAACCGCGTTCTGGAGAGGTTAAATGGTGGGTCATCACTCATTGCGAGCTGACTCAGCGGCGATCGGTGAAACATGTTTCCTTCCTCCGGAGTCCGAATGCGAATGGTCATCTGCTAATCCTTAAAGTCCGCTGTCAAATGTGTGTGCCCGTTCAGCGGCAGCAAGTTGCCAAGTTCGGATCTCCTGCGCTGACGTGATCCGCAGACCGCAGACGTTTCTTCTTCAACAGGTATGTCACTCTCTCTGGCTCTCTGGGATGCTTGCTTCATCACGAAGGTCGTCATGTGCTCCGCCTAGCTTTCTCTGACTACATATGCGCTGAAGAGTGAAGATATATGCGCTGAATGAGAGTCAGCAACAACCCAACAAGTGGATGTCAACAAAACACTCCGCACTGCCGTACTGTACCTCGGAGAAAATTACTTCTTCCGTAGTTGTTCCGTCGTTCCTTAAGGACTTTTACCATGTGTATTTACTTCAATCTACATATGTTGCGGGCGAGTGAATTTGAAAGGAACTTATATGGCATTTGGTTTCCTGGCCGGTAACACAAACGGAAACAAATGACGGCGGGAGTTGCGGGCGGACCGTGGATTCCTTGATTTGTTTGGGTCGTGCATGGTAATGTTAATGAATAACGGAGTGGCAAGTTGAGCGGGGGAGTCGGATACTGGGATGCGGTGTAATGAAATGAGGGCCCGGAAGGGGCGGTATCATCGATCAACGGAGTGTTATCTGATTGCGCGGTATTTAATAACGGGCCGCACCGAACCAAGCGGAAGTAATCCATTTGCGTTACTGTTTATCGCGTGATGCGACTCTAATTTAAAAAATAGAAAATCCTTCAATACGATGGCGGATGAAGATAATTTTTATATGTAAATTGTAGACCTCGATGAGATCTACAACTTTGTAGTTTTAAGTTTTTTCATTTGAACACAATAACGATGCTCGAAAAAATAATATAAAATTTCAGCACCATAATAATCGTCAACTCAGCGCTTTCCCGCATCAGAACACTAATATATTATTTATATAGAGTTAAATGAAAATATTTTTTATACCAAAGTTGTATTCTCAATGAGATCTACAACTTTGTAGTTTTGAGTTTCTTTTATTTAAGGACGTTAAGATGCTTAAAAAAATAATATAAAATTTCGGCGCCTCCTGAAAATATCATTAAACTTTTTTAAGAGTTGGAGGACCAAAGTTATCCGGTTTTAAAGTTCGAGGTTAAAATCTATACTTTGACGATAGTTGGAGGGTGTAAATTATATTTTACCAAAAATAAAAATGCACATGCTGAGTCTACATTATGGAGCAAGTGCTGCCCGGCCGCGAGTAGGGGTCGTAGGCGACGCCAACCGGCGGCGGCGGCGGCGGGTAGTGGTAGTAGTACTGGATGTAGTCGGCGACGGGGTCGGGCTTCTTCTCCTCCTTCTTCTTGTCCTCGGCGACCTCGACAAGCTGCGCGTCGCCCATCTTCTTGCGCAGGTCGCTGGTGAGCTTGATGGAGTCGACGCCCTCGCCGCCGACGACGACCTGGTCCTTGTCGGCGCCGGCGATGGCCACGGAGTCGACCCCCCCCCCCGCGGCGGCCACCAGCACCATGGCCTTGGTCCGGGACCTGTCGCTCGCCATCGGCACCTTGATCACGATCTTTTGCTGCGGAGAGTCAGGAGACACAGAAGCAGTGACAGTTTGAGCCGAAATTAGGAGCAGAACAGACAGCACGCAAACGAAGAATCGAGCTGTTGCAGTGCAGGTACCTTGGCCATGGCTGATGATTTTAATCCAAGCTTTGGAGTTCCAGAGAACCGCACGCGCGGATGGAAGAGGCTTGGAGTGATTTGGTGTGGAGATCCGACTGTCCGAGGGTTGTGTGGAGGCTCCTCGAAGCAGTTGCTTTGCTGTGGTTGGGCACTGAGCAGAGCAGCCTCCCCTGAGCTGCTATATATAGCCGACTGGAGTGGGTAGGCCGGTAGCGGTAGGGTAGGATGCGATTAGAGAAAACAGAGCTCATCAACGCGAGATGAGTTATTGTTTATGACCTGGCCGCTGTCGTCACTGAGAGGAGAGAAGACCTGGACTCGGAGAGCGCGTGCAGGTCGCCTCGTCAGTCCCTTGTGGCCCCTCCGATGGCGAAACCCAAAGGGAAACCGTGCTCAGACTTTGGAGCCGAGCACACTACCGGCAGTCCGCCTGGCTGCTGTACGAGTGAGTAGGAAGCGCTCTCCAGCGGTCCTTGGTGCTCAAGGTTGTCACGGTCGGACCTGGCTAAATGGATGGCCATTGATCAGGTCAGGGGTCCAGCGCCGGAAGAATAAGGGAAGCCCAAAACAGGGCTGTTACGGTCAGGACGACGTCATGGACATGCACTACTACTGTTCCGGGCTTCCGGCCCGGAGAACACTGGATGATCCGATCCCATCCAGGGTGATTCTGTACCAATTGGCCAAGGGAAGTACGAGCGCTGGGAGGATGGACGCCCGCGGCTGCTGCACGCCCGTGCCAAACGGGGACTGCTCGTGCCGCTCCCCACGCTTCTCCCTCCGCTTTCCGCGCCAGCAGCCCGCAACGCTCTATCTCTCCGCTTTTCACGCGCATACACGATGCCCCATCAGCTGCAGCAGGCGGCTGTGGCAGGTAAGCCTGGGCAAAATACCCGATACCCAATACCCGCACCCGAACTACCCGAACTCAAACTACCTGTCGGTGCAAAAAGTGACCAACAAGTAAATATTTGTAGTTTTGCCGTAAGTTGTGATCGGAGGTGGCATAGCACTCAATAACACTGGGTTTATACTGGTTCAGGCAACGTGCCCTACGTCCAGTCTGAGTCGGTTGGTGACTTTATTCCTGAGCCCAGGTGCTCGAAGTTTGCAGTTGGGTTACACACGAGAAGAAGAAAGATGTGGGTACAAGAGATCCGGTCGGAAGGGCCGAGAGTGACGGGAGCCCCGCTATAAGCTAAGTGTTCAAGTGTGTGCTTGTGATTCGAACCTGCGGTTATGTGGTTGTGTACTAGTGAACTTGATCGATCTAATGAATCTAAATCGACTTGAATGTTGGGAGAGAGTGCATCCCCTTTTATAGATGAAGTGGATGGCCTTACAAGTGAGAGGGAGAGAGTATGTATGCTACTGAGTCTTGTTGCTCACGCCGGCGGGTACAGGATGATGGTAGGCGCCCACAATACTGTTGAATGTCATATGCATGTGGTAGGTTGTGTTGTCTTCGGGTGTGGTGGACGTCGGCGCCTGCCATATTGTTGATACCTGGAGGTATGCAAGGGGTTTTACCATGTTCGCCCAGTACGGTAAATGTCGGCGCCCACAACACTGTCGATGTCCAGAGGCATGTGGGAGGAGCCTTACCGTATGGGAGTTAATGGCGCCTACAATACTGTAGGGGAAAATGTCGGCGCCTACAACACTGTTTGGGCTCTGTTTTGCCAAGGAGGTTGCAGAGTACTGTTTCTACAGGTGTACAAGGTACGGTCCCTGTTATCGTGGTTTGACTTGTGCGCCCTGCCTTACTTTTCCCGTCCGTTCCCTGGTCCTTACCGAGCGGGCGTCCCTGGTCGGTTAGTCCTAGTCGGCTCTGAATGCGCCAGTCGGAGAAGAGTAGTGGGCAGAGGTTTGGCGCATCCCCGGTCGGAGACGCGGGTCAGAGTCGAAAGTAATGCTTTGGTCAGGCCTTCCGGTCGGAGAGTCCGTCCGGAGGCGGGCTGGAGACCGAAACGAGCGCTCCGGTCGGAGAGGTGGGCTGAGTCAGAAAACGGGCGTCGTTCCTCCTTGGTCAGACCTTCCGGTCGGTGATTGGATCGTCCTTCTGGCCTGTTGTTTAGATACTTGGACCAGCCCATGAGTTGCGTGTTGTCTGCTTGGGCCGAGCCTTTGTTGGGAAGCCGGTCCACGAGGGACCCCGGGTTTATGAACCCGACAGGAGCCCCCGAGCCCCCGGGCGATTCGGGCAGAATCATCTGGAGAATTTCTGTCTTGACGGCGGGTGCGCGTGAGCGCACCCGCGGGTGTAGCCCCCGAGCGCACCTGCGAGGCACGAACCCGGATGGCCGGCTCATGCATGCCGGCAATGCGGTGCCGCCGGTCGTGCGTGGTTCAGATTCAGGCATCACTGCGGTGTTCTTCTGGTACTAACTTAGCTCGCTAGGATTGTTCTTGACGCGCCCGTTTCGGACGCAACACTACTACAAAAAGTATTTTTAGGGGTAATTTGGTAACCCTTTGTAGAGGCAGTTTGGCCAGCTGCCCCTACCGAACCTTCTCTACAAATCATGCATTTGTAGGGGCGGTTCCCAGGCTGCCCCTACAAATTGATTTGTAGGGGCGGCTATAGTCCCAGCCGCCTCTATAATACCTATTTATAGGGGCGGTTTAATCTAGAACCGCCCCTACAGTACGTTTTTTCGTAAAAAAATCAAATTTATAATTCAAATTCGACCAGAACTGTTTTGTTTTCACGTATTCCATCCGGCGTTAGCGTTACTTGACGCGCGCGCGCAATAACGTTCGAAACGCGTTCGCGTCACGAACGCGCCCGCGACCAACGTTCCGAACGCGACTACAAGCACAATAGTATTATATAAACTACAATTACAAGTCCAATTCATAAGAATATATACAATCCATCATTAAATATATAAATTCCATACACATTATTTTCAACGTCCTAGAGCTAGTCTTTCAGTCTCACGAAGGTGTTGGTACTGACGATTACTACCTAAGTCAGACTCTCGGTCATGGTAGGCGTCTTTGACGTGTACAATCTGGTCCAATATGAAGTTACAAAGGTCGTCGATGAGCTCTAAGAGTTGGTCATCCTTGTATGGGTCTTTTTTCATTCCTTTCTCTTCTTTCCACTACAAGAGAACAAGTTTCAGTTTAGTATTTCATACCATGTACGACATTTTTATACTACTGATGAAGAGGTTCAAACTTACCCTTAAGGGGTGTCTCATGTAGGCACTGGTGTTACTCATCATAGAACATATATAGTATCCACAATGTACACTCCCAGGCCTCTGCTTGGGGCACTGTGTGTTTTGCATATGAAAATGTTAGGTAATGCTTTTGACAGCCATGTAACGGAGTACTAAAGAAGTAAGTTACACTTACCGCACATAGTATTTTTATAGCCAGCTTTTCCTTCCTTGCTGGATCATGCCTTCCGTAATAATGAGTGACATAGAACTTAAATGCCTTGTTCGAATTATTTTAGCAAATACAACTTGTTAGTATCCAAAAGTGAACGTTACAAGTATGTATACAAACATATAAGCTAATGAGGATTGTCGATATGTATATGTCTTGAGAATTGATATGAAGTCTTTGTATGTCGCCAGGTCCCTATCTATTGAATCAAAGACCCATGCCATGCTCCTCCCGACATCGACGGCTATACAAATCCAGTGGTTGCTGCATGGATTTAATCATAGAGCTAGATAAGCTCTTTTGCATCGAATAAAATATATCGAACAAAGCTTTAAGTATAGAGTTGAACTTACTCGAAGTTGTATGGTAGCCATATAGTAGAGTGTTGTTGTAGATTTTTGAAAGCCAGAGCAATGTATGCCGCAACCTTAAGGGACTCTTCCTTTAGTTTCACCGTACGGATGCGCTCTTTCTCCCGAAGAGTCTTTGCAGCAGCTAGCTCTTTGGCATCCAGTGTCCACTGTTTAGGGTAATTAAAATTTATTTGGGCTATAGCTTGAGGGTCTACATACCCGGCTTTCAGACTTGGCATTTGTTTGACAATGTACACTTGCATTCTACAAATCACGGCGTGGGTTAGTTACAACAAAATTCAAATATTATATTCATATCATATCGGGAGGACAAGAACTTACAAGCACAACGTGCGAATTAGATTCATCTCTATTTCTCCCAGGTGAAAGCATGTGTGAATGTCATTGAAAAAGACAATTTTCCCGGCTAGGCTTCCAAATGTGCCAGTGGGGAAGCATGCTTGTACGAGATCTATGCTCGTTGGGAGAACACACAAGTATCAATCATAGAACCTTCTCATAACAAGTGGTAGGCGCTGGATATCCCGGTTTGGTATGAAGGGCTTGCCTCTTTCATATGTTTTTGGGCAATCCTTTGACCATTTGATGGCATCAACATTTGGATACTGCTTTGCAATTTGGTGGAGTTTGCTAGTTACGGCCTCCTCAGAACCCCGTGATGGGACTTTTTTAACTTAGTTCTCAGGCTTGAACTGGTCATGAGAATACCACTTGGACACCGACGAGACATATTTCACCGGAACATAAACAGGCCTTATGTTGATTGGAATCTTCTTTCAAAGTTTCCATTCAGACACGTCCTCGTCTTCTTGTACTTCACCTTCTTCAGGAGGCACTCGTTGTTCATGTATTGGCTATGCTTGTTGAGAAGACTGTGGCATCTCATCATGCACTTGCTCGGTATGAGCTGGAGAAGGTTGTGGCATCTCATCAGGCACATGCTCGCTAGGAGGCGGGGAAGAATGTGGCATCTCAGGTATGTGGTGGTCACGAGACGGTGAAAATATCTCCCCAACCTCAACAACTCGCTCCAAATTTGGGAGAGGGGGAGGCGACGAAGAAGCAGTCAATATAATGTCCCATTTGTGTCAGA